TCAGGGGTCAGGGGTCAGGGGTCGGGTCACTCACGCGGCGCTGCCCCGCAGGTAGAAGGCCGAGGCCTTGGCCAGCGAGTAGCTGAGGTCGGGCTCCAGCGGCGTCCCCTGGGGCAGAGCCCAGGGCAGGCCCGGGGCAAAGGGAGCCAGCCTGGCCAGGTGGGACACACCTGAGACAGGTGGGACACACCTGGACACACCTGAGACACACCTGGACACACCTGGACACACCTGGGACACACCTGGACACACCTGAGACAAGTGTGGGACACACCTGGACACACCTGGGACACACCTGAGACAAGTGTGGGACACACGTGGGACACACCTGAGACACACCTGGACACACCTGAGACAGGTGTGGGACACACCTGGACACACCTGAGACACACCTGGACACACCTGGGACACACCTGAGACACACCTGAGACAGGTGTGGGACACACCTGGGACACACCTGAGACAGGTGGGACACACCTGGGACACACCTGAGACACCCTGGGACACACCTGAGACAGGTGGGACACACCTGGACACACCTGAGACACACCTGGGACACACCTGGACACACCTGGGACACACCTGAGACAAGTCTGGGACACACCTGGGACACACCTGGACACACCTGAGACACACCTGGGACACACCTGGGACAGGTGGGACACACCTGGACACACCTGGGCAGGTGGGACACACCTGGGACACACCTGAGACAGGTGGGACACACCTAGGACACACCTGGGCAGGTGTGGGACACACCTGAGACACACCTGGGACACACCTGAGACAGGTGTGGGACACACCTGGACACACCTGAGACACACCTGGACACACCTGAGACACACCTGAGACAGGTGGGACACACCTGGACACACCTGAGACACACCTGGGACACACCTGAGACACCCTGGGACAGGTGGGACACACCTGGACACACCTGGACACACCTGGGCCACACCTGAGACAGGTGGGACACACCTGGACACACCTGGGCACACCTGGGACACACCTGAGACACCCTGGGACAGGTGGGACACACCTGGACACACCTGGACACACCTGGACACACCTGAGACAAGTGTGGGACACACGTGGGACACACCTGAGACAGGTGGGACACACCTGGGACACACCTGGGCCACACCTGAGACAGGTGGGACACACCTGGACACACCTGGGCACACCTGGGACACACCTGGGCACACCTGGACACACCTGGGACACACCTGAGACAGGTGGGACACACCTGGACACACCTGGACACACCTGAGACAGGTGAGACACACCTGGACACACCTGAGACACACCTGGACACACCTGGGACAGGTGGGACACACCTGGAACACACCTGAGACAGGTGAGACACACCTGGACACACCTGGGACACACCTGGGACAGGTGTGGGACACACCTGGACACACCTGGACATACCTGGACACACCCGGGCAGGTGGGACACACCTAGGACACACCTGGACACACCTGAGACACACCTGAGACAGGTGTGGGACACACCTGGGACACACTTGGACACACCTGGGACACACCTGGGACAGGTGGGACAAACCTGGGACACACCTGGGCAGGCGTGGGACACACCTGGGACACACCTGAGACAGGTGGGACACACCTGGGACACACCTGGACACACCTGAGACACACCTGGGACATACCTGGGAAGGCGTGGGACACACCTGGACACACCTGGACACACCTGAGACACACCTGAGACAGGTGGGACACACCTGGACACACCTGAGACACACCTGGGACACACCTGAGACAGGTGGGACACACCTGGACACACCTGGACACACCTGAGACAGGTGTGGGACACACCTGGACACACCTGGGACACACCTGGACAGGTGAGACACGCCTGGACACACCTGGGACAGTTGGGGACAGCTGAGATACACCTGAGGTGTCACACGCACACCCGGGGTGTCACACACACGCACACCTGGCCGTGTCACCCCCCCAGGTGACAGCGTCACCGTCCCTCACCTGTAGCGCCGCCGCTGCTGCACCAGGTACCGGCGGCGCTGCCGCTGCAGCCGCGGGTGTCGCTCCATGGCCGGCGTCCGGGCTGCGGACAGGTGACACGGGTGACACGGGTGACACGGGTGACACGGGTGACACGGGTGTTACGGGTGTCACAGGTGACACGGGTGTCATGGGTGACACGGGTGACACAGGTGACACGGGTGACACGGGTGACACGGGTGTTACGGGTGTCACAGGTGTCATGGGTGTCACAGGTGTCATGGGTGTCATGGGTGACACAGGTGACACAGGTGTCATGGGTGACACGGGTGACACAGGTGACACGGGTATCACAGTTGACATGGGTGACACGGGTGTCATGGGAGTGTCCCCAGGTGTGTCCCCACCCCCCCAGGTGTGTCCCCAGCTGTCCCAGGTGTCCTCAGGTGCATTCTCAACTGTCCCCAGGTGTGTCCCCAGGTGTCCCCATGCCCCCTGTGCCCACCTGTGCCCTTGGGCAGCTCCCAGGTGTGTCCCCAGGTGTTACCCCAGGTGTCCCAGCTGTCCCCAGGTGTCCCCCAGTGTCCCCAGGAGTGTCCCCACCCCCCCAGGTGTGTCCCCAGCTGTCCCCAGGTGTCCCCATGCCCACCTGTGCCCTCGGGCAGCTCCCAGGTGTGTCCCCAGCTGTCCCCAGGTGTCCCCGGTGTCCCCAGGGGTGACCCCACCCCCCCAGGTGTGTCCCAGGTGTGTCCCAGGTGTGTCCCCAGGTGCCCCAGCTGTCCTCAGGTGTGTCCCCAGGTGTCCCCAGGTGTCCCCATGCCCCCCGTGCCCACCTGTGCCCTCGGGCAGCTCCCAGGTGTGTCCCCAGCTGTCCCCATATGTCCCCAGGTGTGTCCCCAGCTGTCCCCATGCCCCCCTGGGTGCCCACCTGTGCTCTCAGGCAGCTCCCAGGTGTCCCCAGCTGTCCCCAGGTGTTACCCCAGCTGTCCCCAGCTGTCCCCAGCTGTCCCCAGGTGTTACCCCAGCTGTCCCCAGCTGTCCCCAGCTGTCCCCAGGTGTGTCCCCAGCTGTCCCCAGCTGCTCCCAGCTGTCCCCCGATGTCCCCAGGTGTCCCCAGCTGTCCCCAGGGGTGTCCCCAGCTGTCCCCAGGTGTGTCCCCAGGTGTCCCCATGCCCCCCTGGGTGCCCACCTGTGCCCTCGGGCAGCTCCCAGGTGTGTCCCCAGGTGTCCCCAGCTGTCCCCCCATGTGTCCCCAGCTGTCCCCAGGTGTCCCCAGCTGCTCCCAGCTGTCCCCAGCTGTCCCCAGGTGTCCCCATGCCCCCCTGGGTGCCCACCTGTGCCCTCGGGCAGCTCCCAGGTGTCCCCAGCTGTCCCCAGGTGTCCCCAGGGGTGTCCCCACCCCCCCAGGTGTGTCCCCAGCTGTCCCCATATGTCCCCAGGTGTCCCCAGCTGTCCCCAGGTGTCCCCAGGTGTGTCCCCAGCTGTCCCCAGCTGTCCCCAGGTGTGTCCCCAGGTGTCCCCAGCTGTCCCCAGGTGTCCCCAGGTGTCCCCAGGTGTCCCCATGCCCCCGGTGCCCACCTGTGCCCTCGGGCAGCTCCCAGGTGCCGTAGCCCTGCAGCCAGCGGTAGCAGGGGAAGTGGAAGGGGCCCAGGAGAGCGGCGGCGTCACCGGGGTCACCTGCGGGGACAGGCGGCACCGCTCGGGTGACAACACCGCGGGTGGCACAGGTGTCACTCGACAGACTGATGTCACCTGTACTGTCACAGGTGTCACCTGTGGGGGTGACGTCACCTGGGGTGACACAGGTG